TTTTTTTTGGTTTTAATTTTTAATGATTTTTTTTTAAAAAAAATATTTATATATTCATAATTGATACCCTTGGTTTTTTTTGGTGACCCAAGTGTCACTAATTTCGTTACTTTAGGCATTGTTGTAAAAAAATTTCTCGTTACGTGAAAAATCCAAAATAACAAAATTGTTCATTTTCACCATATATCAAAAATCTACATCTACAAATTTTCCAAGTTCACATAAAGTATACTATGTACAATAATAATAACATAATAAATAATAGTATAATAAAAGTAACTTTTCAAAAAGAATTATATATATATGGTACAGTATCCATTTTATTCAACCTTAAAATCATTAAGTAAAACGGCCAGTCATTCATTACACGGTCAAAGTCACACAAGGAGGTCCATTTCCTTCAAGAGAAAGTAAATTATTCTTCATGAAACCATAACCTCTCCCAGAATATTTAAATTGTTCTTTGAGAACAAATAAAGGTACATCATCTTCATAACAACCTTCACCATCATCATCACCATCTTTTCTTATAATAATATGATTTGGTATATAAGATTCTGGTTCTTTTGTTAAAGTTGAATATTTTAATTGTTCGGCATCATCAGTTAAAGTTACCAAAGAAGATTGGGAAGAATTTGTTGAAGTTGTTGAAGATGATGAACCTGATCGAACAAGAATATTTGATAAATCACTTAATCTTCTTTTTCTTCTTGCCACAGGTAAATCTTTCACGATCAATTGATTTGAAAATTCATCAAATACTGTTACTACTTTTGAAGAAGCATAAGAAGGTCGATATTTCGTTGTAATTGGGGAAACAGGTTGTACTTCAGCAATTATTGCTGATAACCTTTTATTCATCAATGATGTAGGACATAAAGATGAAATTGAATTATTAAAAAGAGATCCACCATTTGTATCATTTATATTAAAGATACTATTTCTTTTTAATCTATTTAATTCATAAACTCTTGATTTAAAATGAGTTAATTCTTTACGTATTTCATCAGATAATAATGAAGGAATAGAAATATTTTCTAAAATATTATTTAATAAGACAGCTTGATTCATTGGACGTTGTCTATCCCTACGTAATTTTCTTAAAGTACGAATATAAGCGAAATGTTCGACTGAACCTTTAATTATACGAGTATTTTCCAAGTAATCATTATCATCAAAAGAAGAAGATCTTGAACGTTGTTGATCTTTACAATTTGAAGTAGATAATTCGCACGTATCAGAATTTACGTTAGGTATTATCATATTATTATTATTATCATTATTATTATCCGAACAACTATCAAAGTCATTATCGTTAATAATTATAAAATATTCATCTTTATTATTTTCATATGAATCGGAATCGGAATCGGAATCGGAATTGGAATTGGAATTGGAATTATTGGAATTATTGGAATTATTGAAATTGGAATATGATCTTGATCCTGATTCTGGTCCTCCTGGTACTGATCGACGATTGAGCTTTCGTGATCTTCGTCTTTTATTAGAGTTAAAAGGTCTTTTTGATGGAGTCTTTCTTGTAGAATTTGATTTTTTATTTGATCTATCAATGATAGGAGGGGTTGGGGTGGTAACAGGTTTTGATTTTCTCAGTATTGTACCTTTTATCCATTGTGTAAAATTTGAGAAATTTGAAGATTGTTGAGAACGATTTTGTATAATGAGAGTATTATTATTTGTTTGTGATTTGTTTGGCATTATTAATAAGGTGTTTTTAGAGAAAGTTAAAGGATAGACGTGATTTTCGAAATTCCGTAATTTCCGTTATTTTCCGACTTTCCCGTTATTTCCCTTTAATTTCCGGTAATGAAAAAAAAAAGTGCTGTGATATATACATATATATATAGTAAAAAAAAATTTTTTTTTTTTAGTACTAGCGTAATAAAAAGTTAAAAATTTATAAATGATTATTAAAAAAGGTTATTATATCAATCATATCAATCAGTAAAAAAAAGAGTTAAAAAAGGTTATTATATATATCAATCATATCAAAAAAAGAAAATCAATATCAGAAAAGTAAATGTATATTATATAAAAACGTGTAAAAATAATTGGTCGATTAACGGAATTAAGGGAATCAATAGTTAATCAATTTAATATTATAGTTTTAACATGAGAATCCCTTATGGAATCATTGACATAAAAAAAATTGGGAGAAAGAAAAAAAAAAAAAAAATATTTCATTGGTTATAGAAAGAGAAAAGTGTACATTACATTACATGATATAATTGATATATGATTCACAACAAAAAATCAATCCGAATACATACCTTAAAGAAAGAAAGAAATTATTTGTAATTGTATTTGAAAAAATTTTTTTTTTTTAAAAAAAAAGGGTAAATGGATGAATAAGATGAATATAACTTGAATGTATGTAACTAAAGTAACCAAAGTAAAATTATTGATACGATTGATATCGTTGATATTTTACTTTTTACTAAAAAAAAAAAAAAATTATTATTATTATTTATAAATTTATTATTATTGAAAGAAATTTTTTTAAGAGAATTTTTTTAAGAAAGAAATGGATGTTTTTTTAAAGCGTGTCTATCAAAGGTATGAGCTTTATAAAAGAAATATATGATTAATATTAATATATAAGATTTTTTTTGACAAAATACACAAGATATTATTC